CAACTTGTCGCACCTACACTTCCTTGCATAATGATGCAGCCACCCATGAATTTCACCAAAACTTACGTTCCGGGGCACTTCAGGAAAAAGCCCAATACGAAAATTAAGCCCTACTCGGACCGTAACTTGTAGACCAACAACGAGTTCCATCTCAATAACACGGGCAGTTTTTCCTTCACTTTTTCGGGAAAGGTCACTTGCCTATTTTGCAAGGTGATACAGCCTCCTCATATTTTCTCGTCGTTTTCCATTTTCACCTCACACAATTGCTTAACTTATGCCAAGCGTTCCATTTCTAGGTAATAGGTAAAGAAAGTTGCTATCCGATTTGAAGACTGCAGAAGAGGAACAGGGACTATCACATCGCAAAATCGCTCGAGTTTTGGGCCGATGCCACTCATTTGTCGACAACTTCGTCTTGAATTCTACCGAGTATGGGACCAAAAGAAAAAACAGGAGATTTTCGTTACCTTTGGAAGCATAAAAGCGAACGATTTCGAGTGAAGCCGGAAGAGGCTAAGTCATGTACTCAAGTCCTATCCGAAGCTCAATGTTCCAGTGATAACTGTATGAAATGTGATAGGGAAAAGTCTCTGTTTATCGCTGGCGGAAATTAAAGTACTCAGTCTTCATTACCGAAAAAGACGCGATAACGGGCCGCTTTTGTCAGCAATTGCACCTGGAACGTCTGGAGTAAGGTGCCTTTTCATGGTTTGTTTACTCTTCTTTCTCTTTGTGTTTCATTCCTCAGGTTGTTTTTTTTGACAAGTAAGGTTTAACTGTGATGCCCCAGATGGAAGCCGGTTCAATTGGAACGATCTGAGAAAGAATAAGCTTATCAGATAAAAGGCTGTGCGGGCCTATTGTATTGATAAAAGGCTGTGCGAGCCTATTGTATCCGATGTGTAGCGGTGTTCATGAACTCAAACAGATTACATTAATTTTTTATCGTTATTACATTAAAGGGAATATGATGGGTGAAGACACAAGTAGTGGAGAGGGCCTCCAGCCTACGCCGGGGCGGCGAGGCTGTGAGGGAAGTCGTTCGTGCGGTAGCGGAGGTAGTTGTCGATGTTGCCAGCTCGAGCTTTATATACACTCCGGTAGCGTAGCGTAGCAGTTGTCCTCGGCTTGTTCGGCTGCCTATGATATGACATCTCCCTTCATACAGTAAGCTCGTCCTCGAGCTCCAAGTGAGCTCTCGAGCTATACTGTATATTATGGAGTATGATGAGAGAATGAAATGATCCATGAATCTCTTCCAATCTTGGCATGGTATGTAGCAACTGTGATCCTCTTAAGCCTCTCAAGATTGAACAATTTATTTGGCCAACGTTTCGGCTGCTTCGCCTTCGTCAGGGCCTGAAACAGTGCAAAGCATTTGGGTGACATGCTCGCCCAAAAGCCTTAACAAAACTCCAACAAAACTTCAAAAAGATCAGCAAACCCCCAAAAGTATTGATCGAGTAAGGCATGCATTGCTCACCTTGGAGCCCGCCGCTAAATTAGTAGGACGACCACCCTCGCAATAACTGTTGTTAAAATACCAGTAGCACTGACCTCATCGTAGATCAAAGGTTACACAGGTCAAGGAAGGGTGCGAGTTCGCGGGTTATAGCTACACACTCCTCCTTTCTGTTCATAAGGGGCTCTTTGGCGGTAATCCAAAACGCTTCCAGGGTCTTTCTCGCCGCGATATCGGGTTCAAGCGTCAATATGGACACGGAGACGTCAAAGGATAAACCTGCGTGGAATAAAACCCGATGGGCTCCCAACGAGGTATGCATCCTTGATCCAGCTAGCCCACTTAGATGTTCTTTAACCCTAACTCACGAAGGGCGACCTGTTTCTCCTATGTACTCGCATCTACAGCTTTGGCAACGTATGGAGTAGATCACTCCCACCTTCATGCGATCACCCACTTTGCCATGAGGGCATACCACACAATTAGGAGTGTCACNAAACCTGCGTGGAATAAAACCCGATGGGCTCCCAACGAGGTATGCATCCTTGATCCAGCTAGCCCACTTAGATGTTCTTTAACCCTAACGCACAGAGGGCGACCTGTTCCTCCTATGTACTCGCATCCACAGCTTTGGCAACGTATGGAGTAGATCACTCCCCCCTTCATGCAATCACCCACTTTGCCATGAGGGCATACCACACAATTAGGAGTGTCACATACAGTGTCGTAGAGTCGACTACGAACAAGAAGCTTCCGAAGGGTGTTCGGAGGTATTTCGACGATCCGTATATCGTCTTGAAGACCACACCGACGAACAATGGATCGGATAGATCTACTCACTTCCTCGGAAATGAAAGGCAAACAAAAAGTCGCCTTGTCAGATTGTGTTCTTTCCCGGACTGTCGGTGGAGAGAAATACGTCCGCCGTGTTGACCCCAAGCACAAGTATCCGTTCAACGAAGCAATGCTCTGGGCCATGCGCAAAGACTCCTTCTTCAGCTCAGCATTGGAGGAAACTACACTTGCGACTCTAAGCATATTACTGACCACCGCCTGTTTGGTTTTTATGGGGTGCGCCGATTGGGAGTGGACAATTATGTTCTTACAGCTTGGCTTGCGGTACCATTTTGTTCTTACTATGCCCCGTATTACCTGGACTTGGATATTCAAAAATGGCAGCCAATCCTCCACAGGCTTTTCCCGTGTAAACTTGATGTTTTGTGACTGCCTGTTCAGGACATCGTAGCAAATGTCTACTTCTTCCTGAGTCGAACATATAATAAGACAGTCATCAATATAACGGTAGTATAGGATTGGGCCACGGTCCAGAACTGACTTCTCGATTTTCGACATGAATGCTATGGCCAACACAGGAGCTAATCTTTGCCCCATAGCTAGACCACGCAACTGCTTATAATACTCGCCTGACCACCTGAAAAAGGAGCACCCCAGGCACTCTGCCAAGATCGTCATTACTTGCGTAACAGTAAACCCGTAAAGGTATAGATCAGGTTCATGTTCACAGAGTAATTCGTATATGGCCTCCAGCACTGCTTCATTTGAAACATTAGTGTACAGTAATGTGACGTCAAAAGATTCCACCACACACTCTTCGTGGAGGCTAGCGCTGGACAACTTATTGAGTAGTGTGCTAGTGTTGGTCAGGTGGGTGGGGATATAACGAAGCAGTTGGCCCAAGATGATATTGAGAAACCAAGATATTCTGTCCGTAGGTCCCCCAACACCACTAACTATGGGTCTAACTTTAAATTTGGTGGGGTCCACCGAAACCATGTCCAATGTTGTGAGTTTATGCGTTTTAATCAATACGTACAAGACGGGGCAGGCTGGTAGGTCACACTTAAGGCGACTAATGGTGGTACACTGTGATAATTACTACTGTTCTCATAATAACATAACAGAGCTAGTCCTACGAGTTAAACAGTGTTTCGTTCGAATGTGATGCTGTTACAGCGGAATATAGCAATATATAAAACTTATTACATTTAAAGTAAAACTACATGATAGTCAAAATCTATGACATTTACAGTACCAGACCGAGTTATGCTAAATAATGACGGTCTGGTATAGAAATGTGATACATATAACAGTCTGAGTATGGTGGGGTTCGACAGATATATGGCATAGGCAAAATACTATGATGCGAATACTAGTCTCGTCGGAAACGACTAGTATAATGGCGTTTTTTTTGTTTTGTTTTTTATGATCGAAAAATGCATAGGATAAGCGCTGCACGGGGGCTCTTTGAACCGCCAATTCAAAGAGTGCAAGAATGATGATCGCGTCGTTGCATTATATAAAAAAAGTGTTGAACTGACCAGCGGAGGCTGTCTGGTTCTAGTGACAGACTCTTGATGACTTTACCTTTTTCTCACGGATCGTCGCTGGAAATACAGTGTTTCTCCTGAAGACGGCGTGAACGCCTGATCAATGGTTGTTCCCTACCGTCTGGTGTTTCCTCTTTTGGTGGTGGTGTTAATTGGTTAGATGTTTTAGGTATGGATACATCAGCTGATTTGGAACCTGCAGAGTAAAGTTTGAGACGGTCAAGATGGGCAAGTTGTCGCTTTTAGTGACCTACAAGGTCAGTAATTGTAACGATAGGGGTCTATCATTTCGACCACAAAAGGGCCTTTCCATCAGTTTGTGACCTTTGGTTGAACGGTGTCGTCGTGTAAGAAAACTAAATTGCCTCTGGAAATGTCCTTGGTAAATCCCTTGTTTTGTCGATCATATCCTGCTTTATACTGTGCTGTTTTGCTCGCGACCTCTTTTCCCACAAAGATGATGACGTTTTGCAGACCGACCGCAAACTGGTCTGCGAAATCGTCCGATGCGAACACGGAACGTGGAGGGAGCTCGTGAAGGATGTCGCTCCACGTAATTGGGCAACTGCCATGCACTGTGAAGAATGGGCTATAGCCTGTAGTTGTATTGATACTGGAATTGTATGCAAACACTATCGGTTGTAGAGAGTCA